GAAAACTGTTAAAAAACTACCTTAAAAATAAATAATTATGAATAACCTCTTCCAAAAACTGATTTTAAAAGCGAGTTATGTTATGGCCCATAACTTATGGGATTTTTCTTAACTAAAGTTTTAATGTACCTATAGCACTGAAGTATACTATATAGGGCTATGACCTATAGTTTTGTTTATAGGCTTATTACACTTGGCTGAATTTAGTCGACTGAATTCAGTCGCTACTGAATTTAGTGAAGTGTAATAGCATTAAAAGGCTTATTATACTTGGCTGAATTTAGTCGACTGAATTCAGAAGCAAATATAGAAGCTTCTGATTACACTGTTCTAAATTCAGTTATTGAATCAATTGTCCGTTTTAAGCGCGACGAAGTTGGACGTGTCGTGTGTGTACGAGGATAGCCCCAGTATTGTTAAACAACAATAATATTTTTGTTTTTTTTTTTGTTTCTGTGTTTTGTTTCTATTTCTCAAAATAAAAAATAATAAAAACAAGAATATCGGTGAAGAAATATTTATTGCTGCGCGGAATGTTAGCGAATATGAACATTATTAGTGATTTAGAACGGGCAGACTTCAGAAATTATCTACGAATGGATTCGAGATCGTTTGACCTAATATTAAACCGTGACACCATTTTTTCAAAAGCAGGATACTATTCTAAGATACTACGATAGTCTATTATATATCCATATTATTTAACTGTTACATATCTAATCCTACGATAGTATAAGTCCAAAAGAAATATTGGTTGTAACATTAAGATTTCTTGCAACAGGAAATTCGTATGCAGATTTAAAATTTAGTTCTTTAATATCCCAACCCCTGCTGACAAAAATTATCCCTGAAACATGTCGGGCTATTTATAAATGTCTGGCACATTAAATAAAGGTGACCGAAATTAATACTTTTTATTTGGAAGTAAAAAACAAACTAAAACGTCCAAGCCAAGTGTAATAAGCCTTTTGTTTATGACAAGACATCTGTCACGTCATTTTGAACATTTCATTCTAATTACGAGATACTTTCCTAGATAATACACCTATTATATGTATAAGAGAAACTTTCTCGAATATCTGAATATCAAATATTAACGTTCTCAAATTCAAACTACCTACTTTATCAAATTACCGAAAAATGAACTAATTTAATCTAGATAATTTATGTTACTAGCAGTTACGGGTGCGACTTCATCGGAAAAGTGTCAATGTACCTAGTTTCCTATAGGAATGAATTTCACTCTCCTAACCTAAAATTATCAGTTAAAAATTATAATTTCAACGTGTTGCTTTATTTCGACGTGAAATCTTCTTTCAAGCAAAACAAACAAAATATATTTTCACATTAATTAGCTTAATAATAAGGATATTTACCTACATTTCACCCATTTTCAGCTGTTATGTTTTTCTAAGGAGATTGATAATGACACATATTTTTGTAAAGTAAAATAGTCTAGTAGATAACCAGCTATCGTCTAGGTACATGTAACGAAAAGAAAATACGAAGTCGATGATTAGCTAATTATATCTCACGATTGCTGACACATCACCGCGTGTTTCCGATCACACATGACCTACTTTCTAGTCGTACAAATGAACTTTTTTTTACGTCGATCCACAGATCAAACCGTTTCTTTAAGTTATAGTGACAAAGAAATAACATTTAGGTAGAGAATGGCTAAGGTTACTACTGTATTTTCTGCCCCGAAGTAGAACGCGTTTCAGTTTGGAGGGTGGGACAGCCTCGTCCTATACCTCAGCCTCATCCTATACATTATACTTGAGACTAAGCTCTGTACTATAAACTTGAACTTAGAACTCATGTTTCAAGTTGGATGGTGGCATTCACGTTGTGATATGATGGTCAGGTATCCACCTTACCAGATGGACAATTAATTCGTTTAACGATCATGCGCAGTGAAAAAAGTTACTATTAGGTATGTACTTAATATAATTTGGCTAATATGTTGTAAGTAAACCATTAGAAAAAACTAAAATAATAGATTGACTTAGTTTTTCTATTACTTTGAGTTGAGTTGGATTGGGTTTGGAACTTTTTGTTGTTGTTGTTAGATAGAAACAGTTTATTGACACGCCTGAGCCACGGGGGAGGCCTAAGTATCAAGACATGAATAATTACTACGTGTCGGTAATCTGAATTACATACTATTACTGGTGTTAGGGCGGTTCCGGTTTCTAAGGATGAGGCGGCAGCTGTTGTGCTATAAAACTAAGACTTAGAACTCAATCGTCGTGGTCTAAAGGATAAGACGTCCGGTGCATTCGTATCTAGCGATGTAACGGTGTTCGAATCCCGCAGGCAAGTGCCAATTTTTCTAATGAAATACGTACTAAACAAGTATTTAACAAGTTCACGATTGACTTTCAAAACACAAGTTGGCCTGTCCGTCGGATACAACTATTTACTCGGAGACTATTGACATTTGAAATGGAGCATGCCAATAAATTACTGTAACAAAAAATATTAATGACTAGCTGACCCGGCAGACTTCGTAGTGTCTCAATCGATAAATAAAATACCTAAACTTTTGTATAAAATAAAACAAACAAAAGGAATCCGTCTGACGGAGGACACATCAAAGGAAAAACAAAATTGTTACTTTTATTTAATTCCAAGCATTTTTATATTTATTTACCTTTTAAACCTTCTCTGGACTTCCGCAAATAATTCAAGACCAAAATTATGTCAAACCGGTCCAGCCGTTCTCGAGTTTTAACGACACTAACGAACAGCAATTCATTTGTATATTTAAAGATAATATAGAAGAAAATAGTGAACGCGAAATCAAACAGTTATAATTGTGAAAATTATATCTACAATACTACAATCTACGTACGGCTCTCGGAAATCGAAGATAGCGTGTTTTTTTCGTATTTGACGTGTCTTGAATTGTATAAAAATGATGTGCTAGCTGTTGAAATGTTGATACTTATTGAAGGTATTGTAATGAATTTTAAACAATGCGATTCCCGGGTTGGCGCTATATTGTTTTCTTAAAACGAATATAAGTTTTCATTGTTATTCTTGCTCCAAGCGGAATAGCTGAGATAGTATAAAGATACATTATAGATCAATCAAATCCAAAATACAATCGAAAAGCAACAATGGCATGTATGACTTCAATAATAATTACGTTTATGACAATTTAATATGTGAGTGCTATTCATGTTTTTCATGAATTATTTGCTATTTACCAGAGACAATGAGTAATTGTGTGAAAAACGATTTATTTCATTTAATGGTACTATAACAGAAAATCTTCCCTGCATTGCTAACAGCAACTGTACCAATTCTCATCATAATATAACAAAACTAGCGACCAGCCCTTGCTTCCCTTCGGAAACTGTAATTTATTATTGATTTCTCCACTATTTAATGGATGTTATAATACCATATAAACCTTCCTCTTCAATCACTCTATCTATTAAAAAAAAAAACCGGCTTCAAAATCCGCTGCGTAGTTTTAAAGATTTAAGCATACATAGGGACAGAGAAAGCGACTTTGCTTTATACTATGTAGTGATGAATGGTTGGGAAATGAATAGATATGAAACATACGTGCAAAGATTTATTTGTATTTAAATGGATTATGACTTATATTAAAGTTGTATTGATTCTATATGGAGAGAAGATGTCACGACCCATCAGAGTATTGTCATTACAAATACCAAATTATAACAACTGTTTTACCCTTAATACCGAGTCCACGTGTGAAAGAGCTATGCATTAGATCCGCGCGGGTAGGTACCACCACCCTGCCTATTTCTGCCGTGAAGCAGTAATGCGTTTCGGTTTGAAGGGTAGGGCATCCGTTGTAACTATACTTGAGACCTTATAACTTATATCTCAAGGTGGGTGGCGCATTTACGTTGTAGATGTCTATGGGCTCCAGTAACCACTTAACAGCAGGTGGGCTGTGAGCTCGTCCATCCATCTAAGCAATAAAAAAAATAAAAAAAGATGCTATAAAACTTTTGCCTGCAAATTTTTGGAATAGACCAAAAGTTTGATAGCCTCTGAAAATCTACAAATATTTAGTATTTATTTGTAAATTTTCATGAATTTTTCCTTCCTTTTGGTTCATAGGAAGTACGAAATGTTCAAAAACCTTTTAAAATTAAATATTAGTGGTCTGCTATATTTTTTCATCATGAATTTAACGGAGCCCGAAGTGAATTTAGAGAGACTACATAACTACAAGTCCTACTTATTACACTAGGCACTACTTATTACACCTATAGTCATCTCTGATTAAAATCTCATAGTTCGTAAACACGGCAACGGCGTAGATTTTCTCCAGAAATCCTGGAGCCACAGCGCTCATCCACTGTGCGTGTTCAGAGATCTTTTTTGCCACGTACCATCCGGCTTTGGAATTTGCTCCCACGATGTTTTCCAAGCGCTACGACATGTCCTTTTTCAAACGAGGCTTGTGGAGAGTTCAACTGTAGGCAGCGACTTTGCTCTGCCCCTGGCATTGCTAAAGTCCATGGGCGACGCTAACCACTCACCGTCAGATGAGCCGTACGCCCGTCTGCCTATAAAGACTAAAAAAAAGGAATCTGATGATGAACGCACGGGATGAACGTATCCCCTGCGATTCTTTACCGCCCTTTTCTTATTTTGCTTAATCAAACGTAATTGAATAGCATCCAGTAAAAAAAAAGACAAAAAGCGGGACATTCTTACTGTCAAATAATCATTTACTACATAAGTGTCACATTAGGAATGTTTTGACGCCACAAAGAAGGCACCCTAGGCCGACGAAGGTCGGTCAGTTAGCTCAAGGGTTGCAACTCACCGCGGAGACCGACGTCGTTGGTCGTCGACTATCGCCTCGACGACCCGTCGGTCGGGCGTCCTCGGGGTGGCGCCGCGTGTCTGGTTGTAGTGTTGACCGCNAAAAAAAAAAAAAAAAAAAAAAAAAAAAAAAGGGTTGCAACTCAATGCGCGCGCAGAGGTGAACCATCTAACATCGTTCACTGCTCAGTCGATCTGCGGAGTTGCGCGCCGACACCGGCCGGCGCCAAAACAACTAAATTATTATACTTATACACTACCGCGATAAAATAATATAAATAAACCAAAAAAAGTGCAATAGCATTTTCGCCATAAATATTAAATATAATCAAAATAGTATTGTGCCTATACAAGTGAATGTGTATAAAGGTCGTTTATCAACAAAATAATATATTTTTTTGGTAAGTAGATGTTTGTTGATTTTATGTTAGGTAAACGTTTTCGCATACTTCACATGGCTCGAAAGTATTTCAAGGCGATCGTGGTTCTGTGTTCTTAAGTTAGACGTACTTCTAAGGCTTCATGTAACTAATTATTCAGCTGAATCTGTTAGGTAAATAATGTTTGAATTATTAACACACGTGTTTGGTTCAATGGTGCGTTAACAAAATAATAACGTTATTTCGTATTCAACGTTTAGGTTACTTCCTGTGTGTTTTCATAAGAATATGTTTATGTCAAGGACACAAATCTCAGGAAAATAATAATTTATGATTAGTTCTACTTTCAACGTATTTATTTTATTAGTTGTATAGGTTATTTTGAATTGGCTTTAAATTATCGTCACGGCTTACCAACTTTGTTACATTTTGCTTAAAATTGACTGAGGCCGTCACAAACAGGCTGTTGTGAAATCTCCAGTTTTATTAAAAATGTTTTAACTTCAAATGATGAAGGTCATTTTTTATTTATGCAATTGCAAAATGCAATTTGCATATATATATCAAATTAAAAACGAAGGTCAGGTTCGTGTTTAAATCGATTTGAAACGAGATGGTTTCGCCATTTGCATAATTTCTATTCAATTTTGAATAATTAATTTTGCTAATACGGAACACAGAAATCCTCAAGGAGCCCATAATTTCTTAAATGTTTTCCTATAAATAGTATACAGTACCTAGTTTTCAAACTCAACTATTGGATTATTGTTAATGAATGACAGAAAGTAGATACAACCGAACATAAAATTATAAATATTAACAGCAGGGCAATTATTTTTGACGAATCACTACTAAACTGCACTAAACACCGTGACCTCATTACCTAAATAACTTGTTAGGTTTCATTTTTTATTAAGCTACGATTGGCCTCTAATTGACGGAAATTATTTTAAAGGAACGTGTGCATCATTTATACGAATCTAATAGAATTTATTGGGTATTTTATAAAACTGCATTTGGAGGATGCCCACGCGGCCATGGTCACAATACATAAATTACTTTGCATCCGTTAAAAGAGTTTTTGCTATTTAGCAAACATACCTACATTCAAATTGGGTTGATCATTTATTTATCGACGTTTACTGCCGTTATGGACATACTTATGGAAAATAATCGTAGAAAGGCGTCAAATTAGAGTATTATTATTACCCACTAACATCAAAAAAATATCTTTTATTTCTTTGTTATGTTTGGTATGTTCAGTTTAAGTAAGACGACCGGTGTATTCGTATCAAGCGATGCGACTATGCTCACTAGCACGGTTCAGGCTGGTGAACCGGTACGAAGTTTTCCACGGAAATACCTACATATTATGTACTTAAAAGATGTTCACGAACGATTTCCAAACCGAAGGAACGGCATTGTGTAATAAAAATCAAACGTACCAAATTTTTAAGTTATGGCATTCCCTATTGAAAACTCGCAGCGGTAAGTATCGTGGTCCTGCCTATTTCTGCCGCAAAGCAGCCATGCTTTTCAGTCTGAAAGATAGGAAAGACTACAATAGAATTTGTACTTTATTCTCATTCCTCAAGATTGGTGACGACGGCATTTTCGTTGTGATACCTCTGGATTCCGTTAGCCAATTAACTACAGCGGTTCGTAAGCTCACTTGGAAAAAAGTTTAATTGTTGATATATAATTTAAAAAAAATATATGAATGTTATTGTTACCGACATCTTAACGTGCATTACCAATTTCGTTTGCAAAAAATGATTCCAAACGGAATAAATAACCTTAGATAGCATTTGATTTATGCTGTTCACTTTAACATCAATCCATTTATGATCTACGCGGATCTAGTTTACCTTAACAACAGCCTTACTGACTTACTTTGTAAGTAAGGTCTATTGCCTTACTTAAGGCGCCGTCTATTCTCAAAATGAACGTGAAACAAATCGAATTACGTAAATTATACTGTTTTGATAAAATTTACATTAAAAACTACGAAGTTATACTATTGTTTAACTTTTTTTTTCACATACATATATATTACATACATATATGTACATATTTACTAACAATCACGCCACATTAACTGTTCCCGTGATAAGTTCGTAAAGAACTTATGTTACAGGTACCAGATAACGGAAATAAATGTAAGATTTTTATTATACACTTACATATATTTAATATACATCCATAATCCTGAAAAAGACATTTATATTTATCATACAAATATCTTCCCTTGGCGGGATTCGAACCCGCGACCCCCTTGTGTAGTGACCATGTCACTTACCACTACACCAGACGGCCGTTGTAGATTTTCAGTGACACTGACATTTTAATCAATAGACCAATTAGTTGACATTTATAACTAATCGCTTTGTTTTTAGTTTAAATTAATTTAATACTAATTTCCTTCAAATTAAATATGATGAGCGATTTTGAACTTAATGTTCAGCAAAACTCGTTTTAAATCGCGATTGATAGTGCCTTAATAATAGACAACCTTAGTTCGCGTGACGGCACCATAAAGGCATGTCGTAATGGTAAGCACTTGTCCGTCCTTCCGGAGTGCCTACAAGTACATGAGCGTGTCGCCGCCGGTTCTATTACGATTACGAAACATCACACGAACAAACTTTTCGATCTTGAACTAAGAACCAGTGGTTAATACCTAGGTAGGTACGTGTTTATTACGTACGTAAATGGATTCCCCAGCGTAAAAAAAAAGGTACGTATTTGGAAGTGGTAACATCCAGTTTTAAATACATTTTGATTGTTTGTTATCTTTCTCAGCTATGGGAAAAACATTAAATGACCTTGTAGGTACATGTAATTATATCCAATTAAAATATGTATAATTGTTTATTTTCTATGTAAATTCATTCATATATTTATTTTGTGTAATTACAAAAACATAATTATTATGTTAATAAATCTATATTTATTATTCAAAATATTTTGATATGAAAGATCTTAAAGTGCAAATCACTAAGTTTAAAAATAAGCAGAATAAATTTATAAGCTAATTGTAATTTTTGATGATGACTCTCTACTATTGTTATTTTTGTTTTTTTTTTTCAAATTCAACAATAATGAAGTCTAAGAAGAACGACGTTTAACGTAAAAGTTTTTTGACGTGTATGACGCCACTGATGTTATTAAGACGTAAATTTTGTTTTTACGTATGTTTGAGCCTTGAGCAAAATTAATCCCTAGATAATTATTCTAGATACTAGCGACCCGCCCTCGCTTCGCTTCGGAAACATTAAAACACACATGAAACCAAAAAAATAAAATAAAAAATAAATAAAAAAAAGTAGCCTATGTTCACCAGGGACAACGTCGGCTTCTAATGGAAAAAGAATTTTTCAAATCGGTCCAGTAGTTTCGGAGCCTATTCGAAACAAACAAACAAACAAATCTTTCCTCTTTATAATATTAGTATAGATATAGATTAGTATAGATATAATAATATATAGTGATTTATATCTTTAAAATTTTTTTCATCAATATGCCGACATATTTTTCTGAGTAACATGCTATCATCTATCTATCTATCTATCTATATATATAAAAATGAATTGCTGTTCGTTAGTCTCGCTAAAACTCATGAACGGCTGGATCGATTTGGCTAATTTTGGTCTTGAATTATTTGTGGAAGCTCAGAGATGGTTTAAAAGGTAGATAATTAAGAAAATGCTCGGAATTAAATAAAAACAACAATTTTGTTTTCCTTTGTTGTGTCCCCCGTCGGACGAATTCGGATTCCTTTTGTTTGTTTTAAGTTTATTTTATACAAAAGTTTAGGTATTTTATTTATCGATTGAGGCACTACGAAGTCTGCCGGGTCAGCTAGTCTCAACTATATTTGCAAATGAAATTTTTTAGGCCCTTTTTAATGAGACAATCTAAATATTATCTAAATATCTAACAGGTTTTTGGTAGGGAGAGGCTTGTTTGTGACTGAAAAGGGTTAACACAATCTTCCTTTCACGGAAATAATAAATCCTGAAAGGTTTATACTGAAACTCATCTTAGTTTCACGATGGAGTACTTATTAGGAAGTTGGATAGGAAAATAGAAAAGGTTTTGAAAAATTAATGTCAGATTTTTTTATTTCAATTTATCTATCTATGGCAGAGACAACAGGACATTTATGTTGTTATGACAAACTGATTTGTTTTTGAAAATTCGTCGTTCGTAAAGCCTCCAATAGTTGCGTGTGTAATAATAATATGTAATAGTAATAGTGTGTAATAATAATAAAAAAGAATAACAGCATATAGATATCATGGTGGTTGATATACTATAACAAGGTAACAAATACTTATGTACGTCTGGTGAGGGTTGATGTCGATTAAAAATTTACTAAGACTAAATTTCATTCTGTACACAACATATGTACTACAACATACATAGGTAACAATAAAATTTACTACTTAAATGTAAATTATGCACCTTAGATACAAGTTCAAAGAACATAAATACAAAACCACGGGAAATGTGGTTTGTAATGTTACAGGTATTCTGTTCTGTCTCTCTATTGTAGTTACGTAATAGAGTTTGGAAACGGTCGAGAAGGCCGCCCGGTCTCCTAGTAGGTAGTACACGTCTGATCAATCGCCTTGGATCTATCATTTTATATTAAATGTTTATATGACAAGTAACAATATACTTAATGTCATCAGATAAAATATACAAGACAGTTCAAGGTTACGTCTAAACAGAGTGTGTATTTTTTTTTCAGAAACCGTTTAAAAATACGCGCCAGCTTTATAACAGCTTTATAACTAGTGTTAGTATTATCTTTTATTGATATGAGGTTTTTAAAATACTATGAATGCTTAAAGATACATCTACCATTATTTACTCTGTACTAACTTTAGTTGACTGGTAGAGAATGCCTTAGACATTAAATCCGCGAATGTAAATATTACACGAAGTGTAATAAATAAATGTATGGAACTTGTAAATTTGAAAGGTATGTCACTGTTACCTAGGCCGTATTTACT